ATTGAGTCTCTACAGTTAGCTCTACTAGTCAGGACACTTGACTAACTTGTCATTTTGGAATATCATATTTAACTTTCTTTATAATATTGTTTTCAGTCCATAAATATGGTAATCTTCTTATATGTTTAGATCTTATTTAATAATGTCTTTCAATAAGTTGTATTTTTCTTCATAGTAATCTTTTTTGTTATATTCAAAACCACTGTATTGCTATTACACATGATATATTAAATTATATTTTCTAAATTGTTGCAATAGTATATAAAAATAAAATTGACTTACATATCAATATTTTATATTACAGCTCTGAAAAACCCTCATCAATTTTAATAATTTCTCTGTAGATTCCTTTTGGTTTTTCAAGTAGACAATTATATTGGTTCAAAATAATAATTTAGTTTTTTCAAGGTATTCCAAATGTTATTCTTTTAACTGACTTATTGAAAGGCTAGTAACTAGGAAAATGTTAAAGTGGTGATATCATGCATCTAAGTCTTATTTCTGAATTTTAAGGAAAATCTCTTTGGAGTGATGTTTGGTATGAATTTTTGTGACTATCTTTATCAGGCTAAGGAAATTATCTTCTATAATTTGCTTTCTCAGAGATTTTTTTAAAATTATTGAATTAGTGTTACATTTTTTAAATTATATTTTATATCTTGGGATAATTATCTCATTCTTGTCATTTAAATTGTTATAGAGTGAAATACATTGATTTTATAATTCTGAACTAATGCTGTCTTCATAGGATAAATATAATTTCTAATGATGCATTAACTTTTGATAAATTCTATTCACTAATATTTACTTATTTGTTTTATATGTTCCTATATGTGAAAAAGGTCTACAATTTTTTTCTCATTTGGTTTGGTATCAAAAGATATTGCAAGTTTACAATTCTATATTTCATAGTGAAAAGAAATTTTTATCAAGGTAAACTATTTTTCCCTAATAATGTTTTGTCTTAAATTTTATCATGTCTGATATTTAAGTAGCAGGTAGTTCATATGAAGAAAGCTTTACATACAACAGATATGAAATTGCAAAGTCAAGGGCATACTAAGACTAAATTTTTCAAATGATGGATCTGAGAAGTGGTTTCACATATTTAAAAGTCATTTGCTGGTGAGAAAGATCAAAACTTATCAAAAGTGACAAATAGGTAGGATTTAATGAAAATAATTTTGAAATTACACTTACTCATTATACTGCTAGGAGTCAACCCTTCCACTATCACATAGGCAGAAAAATAATTTTAGAAACAATTCTCAATGTATCTTTTCAGTACTGTTGTTCAGTCAGGTATGAGTAATTTGAATCTCCTTTCTTTCTCTTCCATGCCTATACATTTCTCTCCAATCCTGCATTATTTTCCTATAGACTCTGTAGTAAATTATCAAAATCTCAGTAGCATAAAATAATACGCACTTGTTCTCTTACAGTTCTAGAGGTCAGAAGTCTGAAGTGGGTTTCACTGGGTCAAAACCAACATGAGTTTCTCTCTGGAAGTTCTAAAAGACAATCTGTTTTCTTGCCTTTTTCCAGATTCTAGACCAGCATTCCTTGCAATCCTTGGCCCATGACCCCTTCAATCATCTTCAAAGTCAACAACATATCATCTTTAAATCTTATCTCTGCATTGTCATTATATCACCTTCTCCTTTTCTGTCTTTGTAGTCAAATCTTCCTCTGTCTTCTTTGTGTAAAGACATTTGTAGCACCACCAGGATAATCTCCCCATCTCAGGATGCTTAATCACATCTGCGAAGTCACCTTTGTCATATAGGTAACATTCATAGGTTCTAGGGATTAGAATCTGGATATCTTTGGGGCCATTATTCAATTTACTACAAATCCTTTTTAATTACCTATTCATTTCCAATTCATTTTGCTAGTGTCTCCCACTCTTACTGTATTTTCAACAGTTTCTATTCTCTTTTGTTATTATTCATCTGTGATCTTCATTTTAGGGATCATTTATTTTTCTCATTGATATCTTCTTAAGATTTGAGCTCATGGATTTTTTTATTTGTTATATATTTAAAACCTTCAAAAACCGATATGATTATTTTTCAATGTCTGAAAATTCTTTGATCCTCATTCCTTCAAAATTTGGGGCCTAATTCCCTTCTTTTGAATGTGGGTTGGACTTGTTGACTAACTTCCAACAAATAGAATAAGGTATAGAGATAATATGAGTCTTCAAGGCTAAGTCATAAAAAGCATTGCTGCTTTTGCCTTGAGTCTTTGAATCACCCACCATGGGAAAAGCAACCACCGTGTTGTGAAGCAGCCTGTGAGTAGGTTCACATGAAGCGAAACTGAGGCCTCCCACTAAAAACCAGCACCAATTTCTACCCATTTGAGTAGGTTACCTTGAAAGCAGATTTTCCAGCCTCACTTAAGCCTTCAGATGACTGTAGCCCTGGCTGATATCTTCACTGCAACTTCATGAGAAACTTCAAGCTAACTAAATGGTTTATGAATTCTTGACTCACCTTTCTTGAAATGGTGAGGATAATATTTTTTAAGTCATCGAGTTTGGGAATAATTTCTTATGCAGCAATAGATACCTAATTCTATATGTAACATATTATAAGTTAGGAAATATAACAATAAAGTGGACATCTGTGAAGTAATCACCATCTTAAAACCAGAATATTGCCAATACCATTGCCCTAGAGGTGTTAGCAATACTCTCTTTCACTCCACCTCATCTACTGTTTTCTTAAAAGATAGAATACCTATATGATTTCTCTTTCAGCTCTACCTCAAGTGATTCTTCTCTGTGCTAACCTGAATCCAGGAAATCTTCAATCAGTCCAACCATCCCACTCCTCTTGTTTAAAAGAGATTGATACTTGCTTTCAGGTTACGTCACCAATTTTGGAAAACCTATCCTGCTGATTTTCTTTTCTTTTTCTTTCTTTTTTTTTTTTTTTAATTTCCCTGCTCTTCAAAAGCCAAGTTTTCAGAGGTGTCATATAAGAGACATGCATTAAGGAACATGTTAGTTTCTCTTTTCTTAATATTCCTAAAATTTTATCCATGTATGCAAGCAAAGCTTTATTAAAAGTAGCATTCCTGAACCATTACAATCTCTAGTTTTCTTCTGCCATTCACCAGCTACTAGCCATTTCTGCACAGATCTGTGCTTTCTCGTTATTTCATTGGCTTTCACTGAAAGTCACTATAAAGAACAATAAGTGGAGAAACAACATTGCTCTTATTTTAAAGTTGCTCTCAATTTCTTTTTCTCTTATGCTACTTACGCTCCATATCCCAAAAGACCTTTAATAATAAATTTATCCTAGGATTCCAGGCCAGGGAGGGAAAAAAATGATTTTATGATGACCTAGTATATAATGTCTTAATAGTAAATGAGAATTATATAGTTCAGAGTTTATAACAATAAGATCCATGTGCATATATTTACTGTCAGATTTACATTAGTGCGACATAGAATGGAAGGTTTAATGGCAGAGTTAATAGAAAAAAAAATGATGAAAGAATTCAGTCTACACAGAAGAGAAATTAGTAACAAATTCCTGTGTTAACTAAAATTGTTATTCTAGAATAGTGTTACTTATAAGAATGCATAGCCCTTATCTCACTTAACATTTTTGTAATAAGAACAATATGAAACTTTAGTTCAAATCTATGTATCATACTTCTTGCTCCTCCTATCCTTTTGAAATTCTCAAAGAGGAATGAATGACAGTAGCCCTAATATCAGGCATCATCCACACAGCGAAAGACTTACTTAGGCACTCAGTGTCCTCTCACTTAGCGTCTTCTCGTCTCTTCACTGCATGCCATGTTTTGAAGGAGGGAGGATGGGAAGAGGAAAAAAAGTAGGCCTGACAAAGATGTATACATGCCAAACTCAGAAAAACCAATGTCTTAGTGGTCAGTAGAATTTCCATGTTAAAAACAGCCACTTTATGTCAGTAAACATCCAAATATACTTTTTTATTGTTTGAATTATATTTAATTTGTACACTTATTTTTCTAGTTTTACATATTTTATAAGTTGTATAAACATAAGAAGTATATACTTTGTAAGTTTTATTTCAGATCTATTTAAGTAACATTATAAGGCAGATAATTTAAATCTACTTTATGGATCTATGAACATGTTTTTCCTTCCCTCCAAAATACTGATATTGGTCACTGTTTATCCCTCTTTGCCCTGGCTGCTAAGAAATTTAGAGCTAAGTTTTGAGAATAATTACTACTCTATCACGAATAGTTCTCTGTACAGTTTTCTCATTCCTTCCTTGTTTATATCTCCATTTCTTTGTCTTTGGTATATTGTTTTGACCTCTTATTTATTATTTATTTATAAGATTTTTTTAAATAAAATTTGCATATACACAAAGTAAAAGTAATCAATATATAATAAACTCATATGCAAAAATGCTAGTCTCTTTTTCTCTAACAGTATTGCCAAATAGAAGTTTCTGCAATGATGAAAATGTCTGTATTTGCACTGTCCAATACAACAACCACTAGCCACAAGTGGCTACTGAGCAGGAGAAATGTGGCTAGTGTGACTCAGGAACTGACTTTCTAAATGTATTTTATTTTAATAAATTTAAATAGCCATACATATCCAGGGGCTACAATATTAACCAGCACAGCTCTAACTTATATTTATGTATTTCCCCCCCAGAAGATGTAAACTTCTTGTGAAATTTTACATAATGCCTCAAGCACATCAGGGTGAGTTCATGAAAGTTTAAATTAAAAAGTAAGATAATAATGTATATTCTCTGCAATGGACTGAATGTTTATGTACTCCCAAAATTCACAGGTTAAAATCCTAACCCCTAATGTGATAGTATTAAAAGATGGGGGCCTTTGAGGATAATTAGGTCATGAGGATGGAGCCTTCATGAATAGGGACAGTGATCTTATAAAAGAGACCCCTTGCCCCTTCTGCATATAAGGACACAACAAAAAGACGGCTGTCTGTGAATGAGGAAGATGGCTCTTACCAGACATCGAAGCTGCCAGCCAGTGCCTTGATCTTGGATTTCCCAGCCTCTGGAACTATGAGACATACTTCTTTATTGTTTCAGCCACATAGTTCATGGCATTCTGTCATAGCAGCCCAAGCTAAGACATTCTTGTTCTGTGAAAGATGATTAAACCATGAAACACTTTTGAGTTATTTTTATAATTAATGCAAACCAATAAAACACTATGAGCTCTTAATTTATAAAGTCCAGATATAATGTGACATCTACTATATTTCACAAAAATATGTTAAGAGTTGATACAATATTTTATTACTATGTTGGAGACTTAGAAGAAAAAGTAATATTCAGATAGTAACATTATTACTGTGTTAAGATCTCTCTTTTATGGTTTGAGTAATGAGTTATTTAATAACCATAACATTAAACAATTTAAATAAAACTTTTGGAGATGGCTAAATTAAATGGCTTGATGGTATAATGCTTAGAGTTAAGCAATTGAATAAAACTGTAGGGAGCATCTGTAATCAAGCTAGATTTAAGTAACATCTGAGGCACATTTATGGAATAATAGCCTTGATGGTAAGCTAATCTGAGAAAAGTAGGTCCAGCTGTATATCCATTAGAAAGAAAGAAAATACTCTCCCTAAAACATAAAGCAACACACAAGAAGCAATGTAATAAAATATTCATTACCTTAAGGGTATATATAAATCCAAAAGCAGTCTTAGCTCCATCATTAACTAAGCAAGTTCATTTCAGTTCTAGAGCCTCAGAAAAAGAGAGAGGAAAAATAGCCCCACATTTATCTTACACATTTCATGAATACATGGTGATTATAAGTGCACTGATATGGCAACAGGGAACAAGGTATATTGAACATTTTAGGCAATGCATTATTTCAATTTATTAGGATAAGAACTTTGGAACTTTTCAAACCATATGTATAGCAAAAGACAATGTTATTATTAAAGATACTGTTATTTCTAAGCAGTTCAAACTTATTTACACTTACTGACTTTAATAAGTACCTGTAAAATTCTTTTAACACCTTAACAATTTCATTATATACTCTAAGAATACAGTTTTTTAAATGTTTACAAATCAGTGGAGAGGTATGCAGTACTCCTCACTCTATTCTACAGAAGATCACAATTTGGTATATCACAAAGAAGATGGGCTTTATGTACCACAGAAACTTGAGTTTGAACTCAACAAATAGTTTAAGTTACTTAGTAATGTCACCTCTTCATGTCTATTTTGTCATCTATAAAGTGGGAATTATAAAATCTACTAGTGTGGTTTGGAGGACTCAGTGAAAAATGTACTTATTTAGTATCTGGCATGACATAGATGTTTATAAATACCTTATTATTAATTCTGAAATCATTTATCAATTGGTTGTCCCTTACTTCCTTTGCTCTGCATGTTTCATCTCTTATACCACAATCTGGTCATATGATTTGATCACAAAAAGATGATAGAAAATTCATGCGAGTTTGACAAGAGAAAATTCGATCACTTTCAGGTTCTTTTCTAGACTGTAATGATGGATCAAAAAAGCTCGTGGGCCAACTCTGAAGCTTGTTTTTGCATTTCTCAAGAGCTAAGGATAAGTTACAAAGAAAAAGAAGACGACAAAAAACAAAAGAAGTAGAAGAGGCAGAAAATAGGGTGTAAGGGGAAGGTGAGGAGAAGGAGGAGGAGATATGACAGACTACATGTAGCCCATAATGCCTATTTACTCGCTGGCCCTTAAATGAGAGTATTTGCCAGCTTCTGGATGATATTTGCCAAATATCTGGATGATATTTGATTTTTTTTTTAATCTAAAATGAGATTTATTGCATATCATGCAGTCCATGCAGCAAAGGTGACTAGCACCATTTTGAATGCATTTAAAAAAACAAAATAAAAAATGTGGTGGGAAGTAAATACACAAAGTTCTAGTCTCCTTGGGTCCCTGGAGAGTAGGATTTGAGAATGAAACCATCCACTCTCCATGGTAAATGAGTTCATCTCTTAAATCAAGGAATGTCTCCATGGTCTCTGGATGCAAATATCATCTTTATGATTGAAAGTCTCCTCTTATTGTACGGCATTGGGAAATCAGCATAATTAGCTGTAAGGAAACAATAAATATAAAAACCTGGACTTGGAAATAACTGTTTATTAATGATGAAAAGAAAAAAAAAGAAGATTAAAGGTATAACAAATCTGTGATTATTTTTAGATATTAGTAAAAATAATTCTTAGTTACCTAGAATCTGAGTTAAAATTAAATTCATTCTAAATGTTGCTTAAATTACTGGAGGGCTTCCAGATTTGCAACCAGAAAGACTCATTGCATCAGACATTATTTGAATATCATGGTAGTGAAAGTTAAAGATGCTTAATTAAAATGCCTGAACAGCAATATTAGTGGTTTTTTATTGAGCTATTTCAGAGCTTTGGAGGAATGACACTTTATATCTTAAGCAGGCAATAAAAGCCCCAGCATGAAAGTCAAACTTCCAATTACCTCTTACTCCAGCAGAAATTCAACTTTCTTGAAAAACCTGTTTTATTTTCATATACTAAGGCATACAGAAATGAGTACAGAACTTAAAGTACAAAAGAATCAAAATGTGGGCAAGAAATTTAATAAAAATTAGAAATATAATTTAGAATATTAGTGGTCTTCAGTCTTATGAGTCCCGATGTTCCCCTTTTCTGGGAATTGACTTACCACACACAAGTGTGAGCCCTGCTTTTCCCATACAATCCTGTCAGCCTGGCTGTAACTCATCCAAACCAAGTCAATCAAATCCTCCTAAAATTGTTTCAGATTAATCGATCTCTGTTAACTGAGTTCTTGTAGAGCTAAGAGATCACTTTTCAGCCATATGTATAAAGCAGCAGAAAAATAAATCTTTACATAAGGAAAAATTCATATTGACAGAGCAAAGCCAGGACAGACCATGCCATCCTGTATCTAGAAAGGGTCTGCATCATTGCCTTCTCTCCTGATGGCTTTTGTTTGTTCTCATCCCTCGCGAGGCCCAGATGACCATTGGTACTGCATATAAATTTGTTCTAGAGCACTACTCCCTACAGTTTCTGATTAGCAGGTCTGAGAATTCATATTTCTAAAATGTTTACAGGTGATTCTGATATGTGGAAAGGACCACATTTTGAGAATTACTACCCTTGGGTCATATATACAAGAGTCTTAGGTTAGAGTAATGAAACAGGGTGGGTGAAGGAAGGGATGGAGTGTTTACACAGGTGATGAAATTAGAGAAAAGGGACTATAATCTTCAGTTCTAGGTGTGATATGAATTGTCCCTGTGATATGAATTGCCTGATCATCTATGCATCCCTTTATGTTTCTACTCCCTCTGTAATAACTTAGGACTCCAGGAATTATTAATATAAGTGTCCCAAGCAATGACTTCTAGTGCCATAATCCACTCAACCTTCCAGAATAATCATGACTTCCAAGAATTATGGGTATGGAAGGAAAAAGATGCTTTTCTCTATTACTCCCAACAGCCTTCCATCATCTGTGACACCTAAGCTCAGCGACTCTAACATTGTCTCTCCCAGGATGGACCACTGGAATCTTGCTCAGAATGAAACGATCAATTTCCATTAGCTTGATGAGCCTAGAATTTCAAAAACAGAGGTTCTGGTTCATATCCTGTGAAGGCAAGAGATTAAGTTGCTGAAAGAGAAAGGAACACACTGAACACAAATGCAGGTAGTTTGGGGCAGGTACTAAAGTAGATATATAATAATTCTGTACTGAGCACAAGCTTCACACAGGATCTGGTTCCCAGTCTTAAAAGAAAACCCACCCACAAGTCCTTAAGGTCAGAACTTTAGTGTATCAAGTCATCCAGACATCAAAAATAATTGCTTAAGATATTTATTTATTTAAGAAATATTTGCTGGGCACACATATTTCAGTGGAGGAGCCAGGTTTTATGAAGTCTTAATCTTATACAATTGGGAGAAAAATATATATATATATTTTCTCCCAATATATACCAAATCATTTAGGAGAGTATTTTTATTAAATTTATTGGGGTGACACTGGTTAATAAAATTATAGAAGTCTTGAATGTACAATTCAATAATACGTCGTATGTATATTGCATTGAGTGTTCACCACTCAAAGTTAAATTTCTTTCTGTCATCATATATTTGACCCCTTTAAGAGAATATTTAGAATGAGAAAGTAAATCACAATAAATTATAAATTTTATTGTTACAATACCAAAAAACATAAAATTGAAAAATGACATATTTCTATTAACTTCCTTTACTAAATTAACTTTTAGTTTCACAAGCTGTCATTGGTAATGTCATGCAGAATTTTAGGATTGTGTCATATTTGGGAAAACCTCAGGAAGAGTTGTGACTAGATGTTGATGAACATCTATTTCTCTACTTACATTTCATTCAAATTAGCTTCTGCCTCTGAGCATTTTCAACCCTTTTCTCCTCTTCCTACATATTTTACATACCAAAGCTATAGGATAAATTCATTTGATAAACAACTGTCTATAATGCACTTTTATATATCAACCCTGATAAGAGTCAACACAACAGGCTATAGTAATATTCCTAGAAAACATCTCTGCATCAGCATGGCTAGCAGTAATTTAATAATATGGGGGAGAGAACCAAACCACATAAATAAATTTCAGTAAATCAGTATAGTGCCAAATCAATCTCCTCTAAGCCAGATCGTAAAACTGCCCACAACTACTTGAATGCCAAGTCAATATAAGGGGAAGTAAGAGGTGAAGATGCAGTGGAAAGACTGATTATAGATCAAAAAAATCTTTTAAATATTTTAAATATTTTTAAAAATATTGCAAAATTTTACAAAAATATATAAAGATTGTTAATGACTGTCCCAAGACTTTGGAATTAGCCCATGCAAAGTGAGCGGTCCTGAAACTATGCTTTCTTTAATTCATGCTAAACTTACCTCTGCATCTTCTCACAAGCAAGTCCAGGAATTAGCTTTACTCTAGAAAAATAGCACAAATGCTCTGGAATCAAGGAGAATAGGAACAACTTGCAGGTTCCAACTTAAATCTTGTTGACCATGGGCCATTCACTTAAGTTTCCTCACCTTTAAGATGAGGCTGAAAACAATAATGTCTCCCAAGAGACATAATTTAAATGAGTGCAGGTTTTAAACCATACAGTGCTTTGTAAATATCTATAATTATTTTTATTAATAGTACTACTGTTAGCAACATTTTTAGTATGGATAATCAACTTAAGATTATAAAATTGCTTTTGCCCTTCTGCTTTCTTAGCATCCAGTTTCTACAATGTTTGCTCCTTTGTGGCTAACCTAGATGAAATGAAAGCATAGCAAGATTATAGCCTTGCTATGCATGGACTCTTAGTACACAATTTTCCTTTTCCAGTGAGGAAAAGGTTTCCCTGGTAACTTGCCTTAGTAACTCCACTTCCCATAGGTACCAGAAATAGCCAAGCAATTGGTTGAGAATACAATTTACTTCTTTAGCAATCTCTGTAAATTCCTAGCAACTTTTTTAACAGGACGTCTTAAAAAGATTGTCTTTTTTCCTCTTCTTAAACTTCACTGAAATGCATTGAAACAGAACCTTATGATTAATTCTTATGTGTGTTTTTAACAAAGATTGTGTAGCGATTAGTTCATATCAAGTGATCAGGCTAATGCAACTCAAGATGACTCATGGCTGGTCTCAGGTAAATCTACTTGGGAACCCAGTAACAGTCCCAAAATTTCTAAGGAATTACAAAATATACCATTCAGTACTTTTCATCAAATTTTATTCATATTTATCTGACAGACTAAATTTAGATTTAAATTTTCTCTGAAATACTTTGCTTGGAAATTAAGTTTTCAGAAAACTTTTAAAAGCTAAAAAAAGAATCTTCCATTTTAAAGTGAGTATAAAACTCTTAAAAAAATCACTTAAGTGCAAAAGAGACTATTTGAATGTGATTTGAGAAAGAATGAACAAAAATAAAATATTTATTGGACTGTGCCTTTTAATAATCTTTACTAAATTTGAGATTATTTCATAATCACTGTATATTACAGCAAAACTCACTGCAGAAACAAAGTAAAGGTTTTAATTTAAACCCATAGTTCTCATAAAGTAATTATTTAATAAGTAGACAGTGAAACCAAAGCATAAAAGTATAGAAATCCACACAATAAACACAATAGTATCAAAGGGACCAATTTAAGAACTTCAGGTGTTATTAAGTATTAAGATGATGATAGCAATTTCTCTGGGTACCTATTTCCAGGATTGTGTCTTTTCTATCTATTGTGCGCCATAGTGTTTAGGATCAGCTCTTCTATGCATTACCTTTTGCTTTTCAATCATTCAACAAATATTTACTGAATACCTACCATGTTTCAGATACTATGTTAGACAATGGAGATATAAAATGAGCACAGAAGAATAATGGTACCAGATGTGTGGTACTGACAATTTTTAGTGGAGTGTAACAGAGGTCCATATGAGATATTGTCCTGTTTTCTAGGAATTGCTGCAGAGGCTCAAAATTATACACAAAATATGCAAAGTTCTTGCATTTTAAGCTCAAAGATTCGTCAGCTGTTGGATGTCAAACACTTACCTTCAAGGCCTAATGAGAGGCAAGAATCCAAGAGTCTTCTCCACCACACCCAATGTCCATCATCTCTGAAAGTCAAAACATAGAAAACTGGAGGTTAAGAGAGACTTTTCTGAACTACAGGTGTCCAAAAAGAAAGAGTTTTCTTTCTTTCCCAAAACAAGTCTACAGGAATGCTTCTCTTTCCAAAATCTGCTAGAAAAAAGAAGCTTAATGAAAATCGCTTATGTAATAGTGGGATTTCTACAAGAAAAAGAGAAAAACATTTTGTTCCTCAGTTATATACTTGTATAACCAGCAAACTTACTAATCTGCCATCATAGGTCACCATGAGCTGGGAAAAGAAAAAGAAGATAGGGCTAAAGAGTGGGAAGCAATGAAACTACACTTAGACTGTTAAGGCTGAAATAGTAAACACCTCGGAAAGTAGCTGGATTTGAGCTATCTTGCAGGAGTTTCTCCCAAGAGGAACCCCAGCAGCTAGCTGCTGTGGGACAAGCCACAAGCTAAGGGCACAGGAGGTGGAAAATACCAAGCCAGAGCTGGATCTCTCATATCGAGAAATTAGGAGAAAATCTAAACATGACCCTCCTGTCTCATGACAAAAATGACCAATGTGAGTGAGAGACCTCTCATCGATTAACAAGTAATTGCTTCTACTCACAGTTCAAGGAGAGGTTTGTATTTTTTCCTCTATTTCTTCTCCACCGGAATCTAAGATAGAAGCTAGCACTTAACAGATGGAGAAACTCTGCTCCAAGCTGCTGAAGACAGATAGTCCTAGCTATGCTTTGAAGACAAGAGAGCTTTGAATAGAATTTAAGACTCATGTCTTAAAATATACAAGACTGGATATTAAATGCTGAAATAGGACTATTCTAATAACTGAAAGTGCCTGGAATATTAGTCTATTCACAATTCCACTAGGCAAAGTGAATAGCCTTGCTCTCCCAAGAGACTGGCTCAAGTAATAAGCAAAGCTATCAGCAATAGAAATGGAGTTAAGCAGATGGATCACTGAAAGCTAGATCTGGGGTTTACGCAGGCTGAATCCCAGAAAAGATATCTGAATTGAAGGTACAGATTTGCAAGCTCTCAGCACTTTGAAATGATTGTATCAATAAATAATATTAACAAAAATATGTACTATTAGCAATAATTATAATATTAACAATTAACATTTATTGACCTCTTACTATTTGTCAGGCACTCCACTGAAAGCTTTACATGGGTTATGTAATTTAATCCTTAATATACCTAAGAGTACCACTTTTGTGAATTTAGAGAATTTTAGGAACTTACCCTGGTTTCCAGCTGGCAAACAGAACAGGTATCTAAACTAAAGTAGTTTTGACTCCAATGGTCACTTGCTTAATTAAATTCACTAAACTGCCTTCTGAACATTTTCAACAGTATGAAAGGTAGATGTTATCATTTAGAGATACATAAAGAAAGAAGGAGAACTCTGAAAAACATAAAGTAGAGAAGCCAGAAAAATGGATAAAAAGGTAAGAGAAGTCAATTTAGATATTTTGAAGGTGAGGACAGTGAGATGATTATAGAAATGGAAAAGGTTTGTTTTCCCTCCCCAACCAGTACTGAAAGTCAATTTAGGATGGAGAACATAAATTTATAATAGCACCTACTTTACTGTTATATGTCTTTACAGGTAAAATTCTTGTTTTCCCTAAGAAATAACACTTCATCTCTCAGTTCTATTCTCTATTCCTTCATAACAGTAGCACAGAATAAAATACATAATTAATAACTTTATTTTATACATGTGTATATACACACACACACGCACACACACAAACATATCCCTACGTGGAAAAGGTACAACTAGTGAATGGGCACACATATCTTTTTAATAATGAAAGTATATTGTGTGGATCACATTCTTTTAACATGGTTAATTTCATAGGTTACAGAACATTCTATATTTCCAATAAGATGCAGGAAACTGAACTAGGATTGTTGAGGTCCATTTTGTAGCTAAATATCCAAAGCTATTGCATTTGCTATCCCTCTTATTTTATATAGCCATACTTCACTTAACTGTCACTATTCAGAAATGAGTTGTGCAACATAAATCAATTTTCCAGGTAGGTGAAGCATACCCGGTATAGTATCAAACTGATTCTATTTTACTGAATTTAATGGAAATCTGAAATATATTACATACTTCCAGTCCTTCTCACAGAAGGTACATTATATAAAATTTATCCTTTTCTTGATGGTCTAGAATCATACTTACAAACATCAGTGTTTGTGCTGTACTATAATGTAGCATTGCCCTAAGGAGCTATTCAGGTAGTTTTCCTTTTAACTAAGACCACTTCAAAGTTGGCATAATTATTTTGAATAAGACAAAGCATGTGCCTCGGATCCAGCCATATACATGCATTAAAATCTTGACTCATCCATTGGAGAGTTGGATTACTATTTAGATTAAGTTATTAACCACTTATAAGTCTTTGTTTCCCCACTAGCAAAATGGAAGTAAAATAAGAGCTAATATTGAGTATGTAGTAAGTGCTAGCTACAACATTATGGTCTTGATTCCAGAGTGAGATGCAGTATAGCATAGGCATTAAAAACTCAAGCTGAACCATTTCCTGGCCCTGTGGTATTAGGCAAACTATTTACCTTCTCCATGCCTTAGTTTCCTTGTAAGGAAAAAATGAGATCATAAAAAAATTTTCTTTATGGAGTTATTGTGAAGTTAAAATATTTCAAAAGAAAGGAATGCCTGGGTCTTAGTAAGCATTGAGTAAGCGATGATGGTGAGAGCTTTAGTACTCATAGCAATCCTGAGAGTTAATATTGATTCTTTATTTTGCAGATGAGGAAACTGAGGCTTAGAGACCTTAAATAGTCAAAATCATACCACTAGTACTACCCCCAGATGCAAGGATGTAACCACTAAACATAGTCACTATGTGCACACTTCAACTTGTGCTGCTCACACTGTTGATGATCCATGAGTTATGAAGGAAACAACCTGCACGGTTCTGTAAAACAGCCCTGCCATTAAGGCTGCCTCCCTATTGCATACAACATTTCCAGAAAGTTGAGTGAAAGTATGGAGGCAACCAATATAATTTCTTGCATAGTCTTTCAATAAATGGTAAGTGCTTTTCACTTCTCCATGCTTCAGTTTCTTTTAGCCCTTTTGGCTGCACCTAATCTAATATACCCTGAACCTAATGAGAAATGAGATAATTTGTCAATTCAAAATAATTCTCAGCCACTTTCTAGTCTGAAGGTTATGCTTTTATCTCCTACTAAGAAAAGTTTATGACTTTTTAACAGATATTTTATTCTGAGTGTGGTAGGCAGTTTCTAACATGGCCCCCAATGATTCTCCACCTCTTGCTAGTTAAGCCTTTGGCTAATATCTTTCCCTTGAGTAGGGGCTCCACCTTGTGACTTGCTTCTAATAAACAGAATAGGGCAAAAGTGATGGATGTCACTTCTGAGATAAAATCATAAAAGACTATGACTTCCGTCTTGCTTGCATCACTCTCTCTCGCCCTCTCACTTGCTCACTGTAATGAAGACAGCTGACATACTGTGTGAACTACCCTACGGAGAGGTCCACCTGGTGAGAAACTGAAGGGGGCCTCCAGGCAATAGCAGTAAAGAATTGAGGTCTTCAGTCCAACTCACAAGGAACTGAATCCTGACAACAACTACAACAGTGTGCCTATACAGAGACCCACTCCTGACAAACTTTGAGAACACTGTACAGCCCAATTTTGATCGCAGCCTTGTAAGAGGCCCTGAGTCAGAGGATCCTGTAGGCCAGACTTAGGCTCTAGACCCCCAGAAATTTCCAGATAATAAATGTTGTTTTAAGCCATTAAGTTCTGAGATAATTTGTTAATAGCAATAGAAAATATATTACTTTTTCCTGGTTTTTTTCTATTTAGTCTCAAATCTCTGCTTGTGTGTCATATGATTGACCAAGACCACACTACTAAAAATAAACCATCTCTGAAACAACTGTTGCCATATAGTACTGTCATTACCTGATTCCTTTTTTGCCTATCATACTACACTATGAGCTCCTTGAGAGCTAAAACTGTATCATTTGACTTTATTTTACAAAAGCAGGAACCTCCTTATTTAATAATCAAAATATTGGGAGTAAGGTCAGAAGCCAAAAATAAAGTACAAGCTCAGGAGAAGCAAAATGTTGGAAGGTATGGGAAGGAGGAAGAGAGGCTGTGATCAATTCAGACTTTGAAATCCTGCAAACAAAATAATCTGAATGATGATAATGCGTAAAATGTGACAGTACTCTGATAAGCACACAAGCCATCTTTAATTAGCCCATAAGCAGAAGCTTGTCAAAGGCAACAGCCACATGTGGAAGAATGAGTGGTGAGCCAAGCTCCCTCCATTTTGAGAAAGCAATCTAGAGCTAATTCTGACAACCCAATGCCTAACGTTTCTTGACCTCAAGAATGAAAGTCCAGGACCAGAACATCATATCCAGTTCTATTTCCAGACACGACATGATAAAAGGATGTGGGGGCGGGGGGGGGAACCTTGACACATCACTTAGAGCAGACTAATAATCAAAAAAAAATTGTCTATATGAAGTCTTAGGAGCATAACTTTAAAAGGTCACTCTTACATTGCATTAAGAAAAATCAATTGTTTAGTATACCTTATCTGCCCAAGTTGACATGATCTTGATGAGAATTCATTTTCTCTAACTTTTTGGGACTAATTCAGAAATGGTATAATCAGTTTTTAATAACTATTCTACTATTAACAGCTTAACTATTTCCTTTGTTGTCCTTGTGTTTTCATACTTTGAATAGTCAGCAAAAATATTAGGACATCCATGATTTTCTATTTTATTGTTACTTATAAAATGACGGATAAAATTAGAAAGAGACTATATCTTATGGAAGTAACACACATCATAACGCAGGGGATTGGGGTTCAAGTCTGTCAACTAATGGTCACTGGCGCCAATTTAACAACACCACACAGGTCAATAGTGTTAAAGCCGATTATGAGACAGCATAGCTATGGAACGGCATGGCTGTGA